CCTTTCACACCTCTGAAACCATTACCCGGCTTTGATTCAGAACGCCTAACACTGTACTTCTTGCTCCCCGTGGTTATCTAGCCCCCGTATCAATTGGCTTGCTGATCAACACAAAGGCACGAATCAACAACAACTAGGTTGTACTTTCATCCTGTTTGAAGGCATACTGCGTCACCGGTCGGGGTGAACAACAAAAGGAAACGTTTGATGTGTTTTTATAGTAGGTAGTTGCATTTTGATTACCGTCTGGGATCACCTACGTACGCACTGACTCAAATCAACTGTGGAAAAAAAACACCTCAGAACACAAACAATCGTTTCTCGTCAGGCTTACTATTCAATAGGAGGTCTATCATTCCGAATAGCATGCCCGCAGAACAATGGCATTTCTCGATATGCCAGTGCCACAATACACGCACGGGAAATCACCAAGGCATGGTTACCGTTTCGCAATGGTCCTCCTGGTCTCCAAACCGGTGGAGAAACTCTGACAATGGTTGAGACCATGCAGCTATATCGAAATACCAGTCGCTGAAGTTACTTTGCTCAATCAAAGACTGTCTGGAATGCAGTGACCAAATGTGTTCGCATCGCAGTTTTTTTATTGCTGATTTGCAGTATGCAGAAAATTAATCGCGATGTCCTGGAAAGACTTTTTTTTAGGAGTGAACCCTCCCGGGGCAAACGAGTCAACATTAGAAGCGCGCTGTCCAAGTATTGTTATTCTTTTATTTCACACAGGGTTTAGATAAATTTGTAAGTAAATCGTACAACTAATTCAACTATGGAATATTTATTTTCACATTTTCTGATTAATCGCGGTTTTGCCAATCACCATTTGAAGAAGGTGTTGTGGTGATGTGCCAGTTCTTGAAGCTGAATAGAGAAATTTGAGTGTCCCCATCATAATCTTGCGCACACTTTGGTATTAGACTGCCTTTACCGGAGACCATGATGGTGTGAATCTAGTTCGTAATAGCCACTAATGAATGTCACATCTTAGACTCAAGCGAATTGGTTTAGCTTATGATGTGAACATGCAGGGGATGAGTGGTCTACTGAAACCACATTATTTTATTAATAGAGATAACCGAATTCATATTAAGTGATAAACAACATTTTTGACACTTTATTCAGGCATTGTTCCCCATATTTATATTAGTTAACCAACAAAATTGATTTTTGTACGTGAGAGTAATGGAAGGTTTGATTCAATTATAAGGGGAAATTCGTCATGTATGGATNGGATCAAATGAAGCGTGAGCTGAAAAGTAAGGAAGTACTGGACAGCTGTTTCGACCTGATTGGGTTTCATCAGCAATGCGTGAATTCATTGACCTCACTGGGGATCGAACCCGGAACCTCGCAGGCAGAACGCTAGCATGCTATCCACTCGATCACCGNCACGATATAGCACAACCCATCTTTGCGAGCTTGTTGCGGGTCACAGACCCTGCTCATCTTAGCACTAGCCTCCGGATTGTGACTCGGTTGGGAACATTCACAACCTGATTACAAAACGGTCCGATCAGCTGCCCGGTGGCCGAGTGGGTAGCATGCTTGCGTTCTGCCCATTACTCACATGAAACCATAATAATTCGTTAATGGATATCATCGAATTCATATTCTGAAACTCAAAAAGTGCATTTTTGAAAATAGTCCTAATGATAATGGCCTATTCGTTATAAAATAACACAAATTTCATCTGCCTACTGTGTATTTCATCAGCCCTCTTTGCACTATCTCAAACGTATTAGTTGGTCTGTTAGAGATATCTTATTCCGTTCCGGGTCACTTTGATAGTTCGCTAGATGAAGAGTTGCCACCTGTGTACTTGCTTCTATGGCGTGGTGGCAAGTTGCACACGAATGGGATGTGAATCTGGATAACAATGAGGTGTATCGATCGAGCGTGATTCATCGGTGTCGGTGGCACGCATGGTCCGATTTGATTTTTCATGGGGTGGGGGACAAACGCGCGCGCGCGTGCGCACATACCCGGACTGACAGACAGACAGACAGACAGACAAGGCAAGTAGGCGGGGGTGGGGCTACCAGGAGCGTTTCTGTAGGCAGGTATCGGATGACTGCATTTAGATCGAGTGGAGGACTGGGGTCTGCATGCACACTGGTCGATATGTAAGGAGTGCGTACTGTCGGACAAGTTTCTGTCTGCAAGCTTCAAGCTCCTATCAGTATGTCCGTCACAGTTGTTTACTAGGAGAGGTAACGGATGGGCGTGAGGGCACGCCTCAGCCGCTTGAAGTCAGCCTCCAGGGCAAATCACAGGGGAACAGTTTCAAAGGATTTAGAGAGA